AAAAAGAAAAAAATGATGGGGATACATCCAAGGTGTTGAAAGGGAGGGAGTGAGCATGGATTTGATCAAAACACCTTATACACATGTATGAAATTCGCAATAAAGTTTTTTTTAAGTTAAAAAAAATTACATGAAACTAGCCTAGCCTATGGAAATAAAAAATACCATTTAAAAAAAAGAATTGAGCTATCAAGTTGTGAAAAGGCATTTTTTGTGACAAAGTTGTGACAAAACTTATATGCAGGTGGCTATGTGAACAGAGGCAAACAAAAATACTTGCCCAATGGGTGCTTGCAACTGCATGGCATTCTGGGAAGGGCCAATCTATTAGAGCAATAAAAAGTGTGGTGGGGAAAGGGTGAACACAGGATGTTTAGAGCTGTGGAACTATTCTGTATGATGCCATCATAATGAATACAGGATATTACACATTTTGGCACACCAAGAACACATTCTTCTGCAAACTATGAACCCAAAAGATTAGGATACCTCATACGGATTCACCAAGTACAATAAATGTGAAGCTTAGACTGATGACATGGCTCAGCAGTTAAGAGCTTACACTGCTCTGGCAGAGGACCTGAGTTCCATTCCCAGCACCTATGTCAGACAGTTCACAGCCACCTGTAACTCCAGCTCTAGGGAATCCAACGCCTTCTTCTGAACTCTGAGGGCACCTGCACCCATACATATACAGACACACATAATTAAAAATAATAAAAACAACTCTTGGGAATGTTGATACTGTGGGTCTACAGCATGGAGATTATGCAAATTCTCTGTACTTTTAATTATGTTGTGGATGGAAAACTGCTCTTAAAAAGTCTACTTTTTTATGCCTCTAGAAGAGAAGTTAATGGAACCTAGGATCAGATTTTATTATTAGAGAAAATGTACATAAAGGGACTTGCTCAAAGGGCTCAAGTACAAGGAATGATTATTCTCAAGTGCGCATCTTTCTGATAGTGTCAGCAGCTCTTTTTCACATATATGTATACATGTGCACATGCGTACCATTTCCTTCAAAGCATTAGCTGAGACTTTAGGGCTCTGTCACCTTCAGACTCCTCCATTTCTATTTTCCTCTTGGGTCCAACCCACCAGCTTGATTCATTCTTCAGTTTGCCAATTATACAAGCATGAACATAAGGTCAAGTCTAAACTCTACCAGGCTGGCTGCACAGGCTTGATCGTCTCCCGGTTGACTAGAAGGGAGACAGCCTGCTGTGGCCTGCACTTCCCTCCTTTACAAAGCTGCTGCAGAACTAAGTCACCTACCTCTGACCTTGGAAATGTCTATATGGGATGGACATTCCTGATTCTTTCCTTCATCCTTGTGTGGAGCCTTGTCCTCTAAATCCATCTCCTTGGTTCTAAGGCCTCTTCTTCAAGCGCCCTGCTCTGCTGTTAGCATAGTGTTATTCTATGTAACAAGGCATGGTTCGATACTTTTAAATTGTAAGTGGAAAACATTAACGTTGAGAGGTAACAATCTGCAAACAGGGACTAGATGTTCATATAAAAAGGAAGGGCCTTCCCATCTATGATTAATTAGAAATCTGGGCTATGTTACAGAATAATACCCTGTCCTTACTGTCTACTCTAAAGTTGTGTTTAAGTTACTGAATATACATCCCAACACTGGTCCCAAACCCTAAGCTAGTGCTGTAATTATTGTAGTAGCCCACATAGTCTACCCTGTCTGTAACACTCAAAGCAGTGACTGATAGTCACCAGTTCTTGTGCTGAGAAATTGATTGTATAAATATTTCTAACTAGGAGATGCTACAGTTTCAACTTGCATAATGAAGATCTAATTAGAGCATGAAAACTTGGAATTTTACATCATATTTTGAAAGACTGATATAATTAATGATAAAAATTTTAATCCTCCACGTCATACATTTTGATTCCTTGAAAAATATCTAGGGTTCTTTGGGGATGCCATTGAAGGCCTCAGTCAATAAAACCAAGCTCCTTTAAAGGACTGCTGACTGAAACCACATGAGAATTTCCATAACTACCTGGCAATGTAGCTTTGAAGTGCTGTTTTTGTTCTACGCTGTGCATTTTTTAAAAGTGCATAGATTTTGTTTTGTCTAGTTTGACTTTATCTGGTCAATGAAAAGTCCTAACATTAATGCCACCTTTTCCAAGCCCCTTCTGAGTTCCTCCTTTGAACATTTTTGGCACTGTCTTCTGGCACTCACCCTATGTAACTCATATTTATCTCTGTCTCAACTTTGTAAACCTTCTGTGTACATAAATTGTCTCAGTGTTCCCTTGGTCCTTCCTGGCCCAGCCCAGCCTGACTCATGGCAAGTCCCCAGTAAGTGTCACTAGAAGGATCTGCACTGCTAGATGCATAGAAAGAACAGGCATAATATTTTCCTTTACATTTGGGGGGAAATACATTCTTCTGTCGACTCTATACTCTACTTCAAAGTCCTACCTGGGTGGGAATTGACACTATAAGATGGGTTGGATCAATGACTAAGTCTAGCAACCACATCTAAACCATCTCCAGAATAAATAGGCAGAAACCAGTTGGTAAGGTATCACACAACAAATAAAAATAGGACAGAGTTAAAATATTTGCTGCACTGCACAACTATTTGATGAATGATGACTTAGTCCACTTCAACCTTCCTAACAGATCTCCCAAGGAGTTTTCAAGTTGCCAAAGGGAGTAGGGGAGGGAAGGAGCTGGCTCTGAAGGCTTCATTAAATCCGGTTAGAAGTTCGGAGTTTCATCTTCAGTAGAGGTTAGTCACAGTCACCCTTTAAGGGCAGGATAAAACCTACTTGCCTGCGGGAAAAGGGTGGGGAGCAAAACAAAGTAAAATACATCCTCCTTCCTCATTGATTGGAAAGAGGAACTTCAAATCATGATAGGCCAATGGCACCTCTTTGCTCTAAAGCCGTCCAAGTCAGAAGCAAGCCGGAGACTAACAGCGGCTCTTAGGAAGCTTGAAGCTCTGTGCAGCTGATTATTTTTCAGGAGAAGAATTAGACAAAAATAATACAAGTGGGAAATAAAGCGAATGACCTACTTTGCGGTGGTGGGGGCGGGGAGGAGCTCAGTGTGAGTGTTTTGATCTAATTGACGACGGTGTGGGGTTGAATGCCCAAATAAGGCGGGAGAGGGTCTCAGAACTCCAGAGAGAAATTAAGGCCCTGGAACCCAGCGGGCCGCTGCTGGGATTGGCACTCGGAGTAAAGGCCTTAGGAGACCCCTTCTGGCCGCAAATAGAGTGTACAAAAAAGGGGGCCAATGGGGCATTTTCCTGGCCTGGGCCACTTGCCGGAATGTGGGAGTGACCGTGAGCTACGCCCGCAATGCCGACGACGGGTGCTGCTCCAGGAAGTGAGCCTACGTGGTATCAGGGGACCGTGACCTTTCTGAGCGGCCGGCGCGAGGGAGGAGGCTCCCCTCCGGGCTGGTGTCACTAGGTGCCTCCCCGCGGTGATCGCCACCGCCGGATGCTGGGTGGCTGTGGGTTCAGATGAAACCCGCCACGTTGCGACGCTCTGCGGGGCTCGCGGGCTCAGCTTTGCACCCCATCCACGCTCTAAGCCCCGCAGAGTGTCACGCAGCAGCCCCTGGCTTCCGGGGACCGTGTCTGCTCATCTGTCTCAGCTCAGTGCTTGCGGGAGCCTGGTAAAAAGCCTCCCTGTGTTCTCGAGCGCGCCTGTCTCTCCAGCTTCTTTTTCTTGGATTCTTGCCCGTCTCCTCCCACAGAGGAAAAAAAAAAAAAAAGGTCACGTATGTTTGGAAAAATATGTAGGTCAGTGGAACATTTCCTGCACTGGTGCAAAAGGAGAGAAGGGCAGGGGGGAGGGGAGGAAGAAGCCGAGCGAAGCTCCTGGCCACAGCCCCGACCCGCTGGCCTCGGCGGCCGAGAGGACACTTAGCGGGTTTTTGCCCATCCTTGACCCATTTTCCGAACCGACTACATCGGACATGGAAGAGGCACCTAGCCTTCTTCTCTAGCAGCCACTGCGGACTTCCACCAACAGCGTTCACGCTCATGGCCCCAGACCCCCTTTCTCACCTGGTCCCCCCAAAGTACAGACGTGCTGGATGACCCGAGTCAGGACCGCCCACCCTTGCTCTTCGAGGTCATCGTTGAGCAAAGAGGGGTGACAGCCGTGCTGTAGCAGCTCCCCCGACCCCGGGACAGCAGGGTGGTGGCGGGCCCTGCGAGGGTTTCCCTTAACCAGGGGCGCAAGAGTCTTGCTACCCCCGAGTGGCAACTTTAGCGGGACCTCAGCTGGCAGTCCTGCATCATCTCGCCTCCCATCTCCCCCTGTCCCCGTCCAAACACACTCTCCATCCCGCCCCTGCGCCCAGTCCTGACCCCGGCGAGCCCGACCCAGCAACCAGCGCCAACAGCGGCCTTGGGGACGCGCGGGTGTCTGCACAGCGGGGAGACGCCGGGGGTCCCGGGGTCCCGGGCCCTGTGTGCCTGCGGCGCGCGCGGACTGCGTGTCCCGAGCTGGGTCTCCGCCAAGAGGGAGCCTGCGGCCGCGGGAGCTGCGAAGCTTAGGAGGAAGAGGAGGAGAAGGAGGAGGAGGAAGAGGAGCGGGAGGAGGAGGAGAGGGAGGAGGCGGAGGAGGCGGCGGGAGGCGGCGGCTGTGCCCGGCTCTGTGTGCCCAAGAGTTTGCGGCTACCAGCCGGCTTCCCGCAGGAGCCCAGGGACCCGAGCAGCGGCCCCGGAGCTCCGAGACCCGCGGCGGCGGCGGCGGCCGGAGAGCAGCGCCTCCCGCCGCCGCCCTGGAGAGGCTGCCAGCGCCGGTCTCGCTCGGCTCCCAGCGCCGGCCGGAGGCGCGTCGCCCCCGCCCAGTCGTTGTCCAGCCCGGCGGGGCCGCCCCGGCCCGCTCCGAGGTAAGAGGCCACGACGCCTGGGGACGCGCGGTCGCGGGTGGGAGGACATGCGCGTGGGTCGCAGCTCCGGGTCACCTGCTCGCTGGCGCTGGGGACGCGCGGGCCAGGGAGCTCCGTTCGGGTGCGAAACAGCGCGAGGCTGCGCAGCGCAGGGGACCCGGGGGTGAGGGGCGCCGGGAGCTGAGACCTCAGCGCGCGGGATCGCGCAGTCCCGGCTGTCACGTCCTGCAGACCACCGCAACCACCCGGCCCCGGGAGCGAGAGAACTAGGCATTCGGTTCCTCCGGATGGGGAAGGGGGCCTCGGAGGGTGCCATAGGGGCACATAGGGGCTGTTTCCCGGACACAAGTCCTGGAGATTGCCCGCTGCCCCTCCCCAGCTCCATCACAGGCACCTCTAAGCGTCGGGAGCCGGGGGATGCCAGGACAGTGCGGCGTGAGCGTCCGGGTCCGTGGTGTCACAACGTCCCTTGGGCTGAATTGGCTCCAGGTGGAATTGGTTTGCTGGGTCCTGTGCGCTTACAGAGTGCTTTGCCAGACTCCCGGGACACCCCAGTTTGGAAGCCAGCGGGTTGTTTAATTGTGAGGTGTGCCCCCTCCCCGAGCGGAAGAGGGATGCACCTTTAACCTTTAAAAAAAAAAAAAAAAAAAAAAAGCAAAAAACAAAAACAAAACCCTAAGTTGGGGACCAAGGGGAAGGGACTGGTACCAAGAGGCTCAGTTCAAAGCCAGCCCTGTGCCTGCCTCTTCTTAACTGTTTAAGGTAAGAAAGTTTGTTTTCACCTCCGTGATTTACAAATATTTCGTAACCAGTTTTGTTGATGAAGCAAGATGGAAACCCCACGGAATACACATGCATTTCCACAAACTCTAAAACCTTCCAAAGATGAATCCAGGAGTCTTCAGTTCAAAAAGTTAGAGGCTGTAAGTGTTCAACAGGTGTTCGAAGGGTCCAAGAGGACCAGTTCTGGAGTTCCTTCTTTAGCCATTGCGTTAGAATCTGCTCCAAGCTTACCCAGGTCGTTAGCTTGTTTCTTTACAGATAAAATGTTGAGTAGTTGTTACATTAACTTAGTCGGTGGAGACAGTCTGTCTTGATCCCTAGAACTGTTTTCATTAATAGGAGGGTTTCCCATTTGGACTTTCCAGGTAATTAGTCCTGAGGCAGTTCCTGGCCATACTCAGTTCTAGAAATACCTTTGTGTCTCTCACAGAGAAATCCTCTTCCAGCCGATAAATTGGCCAACTAATTATGGCTTGCATTAAAAACAGAACTGCCCCCTTTAGAAGACACCCTTCAAATTCAAGGGCTCATATTGGCTCCATCTTTCTGCAACTAAGACTTCCCTAAAGGAAAACATTGTCACAAATAATCCCCAATTTTATTTTTAAAAAACAGCCCCCAAATAAACATGCATAATCAAAGAAATATTGTGATCTGGGCCACTATTTTACAAAGCAAAAATCTTTAGAGCTAAACCCAGACCCGTAGAACTATTGGCATTTCTCAGCAGTTTGCTTAAAGATTTAGTTAAAAATAAAGTGTGGAACATAAAGACATTTGGTAATTATCTTCCATCTCACAGAGAGACGTGGAATGTGGCTTAGAAGAATTGTAAATGTGTTTTTACCAGTTTCCTCTTAGAAATCCATACCTCTATTTATTTGCTGATCCGTCCCACTGTGAAAATGTAGAAATGGTTTTATTCTCACCACTCCCCAGAGTGATTTCTGAGAGGATTACTCTAGAGGAAACATGTTGTTAATAAAATGTTACACCCCCAAGAGTTAAGCGTGCCCAGAAAAGAATCAAGTGAGACTCTCCTAATTAGTATGATGGAAAAAAAATTCCTGGTATGACAGATGTTCCAGCGGTAACTAAAGAATTGATCTTTATATGGAAAATAATAGTAAGTTTTAAAGGTTGTCTAGTTATTTTGTTTGTTTACAGTTTGGTCCCTGCTTTAGATTTCAGGATGTTTAATAATGAAAATGTAAGGAAATAATCAAAACAGTTTGTAAAAATCACTTAGTGTGTCATCAGTTTAAATTCATCTTTGTTTTCCATCTTTCTTAGGTCTTAGTAATTTTGTTAGCTTACTCTTCAACACTGCTATTTGTTCATAAGTGCAGAATTCAACAGTATTGAACTTCTTCAGGTTAAACTAATACATGGGTATGTTTTTTGTTTCTCCATCTTTATATGTACTTTTTAAAAGAATTTTGCTTTTGAGCCTTTAGAAGCCAAAGGGCTAAGTCATTGTGAAGTTTAAAAACACGTATATATGTGTTTTATTCTTGACATGAGTGGCCAACTGTTCTGGGGTCCTGTGCTGATAACAGTATACACTGCAACATCTTCCCAGCACAGGTCAGATTGTGAGGGGTTGAAAATAGTCTAGTGACTCAGTATTCTTGGCTGCTTTGTGCCAACAGTTTAATTGGCTCATCATAGCAAGCATCTAATTGAGTTTCACATTAATGTAGTGAAAATGGTACTTGAAGCCTTTTTTTTTTTTTTGCTTACAGGGATGTTTGATTAGCATATTCCTCATCCCTGTTCTATTTGTAGCAAAGACAGCAGGTCATGCACTGTCACATTCATATTTTATCCTTTCCTCTCATCTCTATGAAGCAGTGTTTATAATAGATGCTCAATAAATAGGTGTGGGAAGTGAGCTGAATTGTTGGTAATCACTATCCAAAGGTTAGAAATTTCTGAAAGTTAATGGGATACTTAGATATGAGTAATTCTATGTTAAATCAGACAATGATTAATAGTACCTTAGTGCACTAGGTAAACATTTATTAAAATATGAGCGTGTAAAGGAGAAATTTTTCATTCCCTCTTTAGCTAAGGCAATGCTGTTTCTCACTCTAATTTTTGAGACTGGGTACCATGTGCAATGTTAAGCAAAGTTATTTCTTAGGTAAATTTCCTCCAAGAAACCACTTCAACTTCTGCAGGTCATGATATCTGCTTCCACTTGATGACTCAGAATAGAAAGAAGAGAGTTTCTCTTCTGTACTGGTGTACATTAACAGTGTGTATAAAGAGATGGAGGGGATGGGCTGTCACAACGCAGTCCATCATCTGGGAGGGGCTTTTTAAATGCAGATCCTAGCTCAGGAGCCTCAGTATTTTTTTTTTAACCAATTCTCAGTGCTGCACACTTACTCTCATTCAACACATGTTTCCGGAGCATGTATTAAATAATCAGCCCAGATGATGGACTATATAGAAGGTGGGTCATACCTACTCACCTGACAAGCTAATGAGATGGCGATGGATTTAAACTGAAAATGGGGTCCTGCCTCCCTCCTCAGCACCTGGTTGTCTCATGGCAGCTTTTTCACTGTTCTCAGCTGAAGTGTACTTGTCACAAAAACAGTGGGAAGGATGCTTACCTTGCCAAGTCTTTGGATTATCAGTAAGGGGCATGTGTGAGGCCTAGCAAACAGGATTGCTTCTATTACCACTGATGGCAGAGAGGCAGCCAGAAAGGGAGGAGGAGGAGACAGCTCAGCAATCCAGAGATTCACTTTGGTTAACTCATAAGCCCAAGGCATAATAGAGAATCAGGCTAGGTAAAGCTGGAGGACTGGTCATGTCGAGGTTAGTCTGAGCAAAATAAAATGATAGGGAGCCTGCACCTATCCCCCCTTGTGCTGCAGCTCCTTGGCTTCTGCTTAGCTTTTGTTGGTAGTCTTGTGATATTATTACCTGAAGCTATGCCTCATTGTTAACCTACAGGTTCTGTGGCTATAGACTGGTGTTTATGGTCTTCAGGCACTCCTTTAAAATATAGGAAAGAACAATACTCTTTGAGAGCTGGTGGGGCACTTTTAAGGATTAAAGCCATCAAGCAGTCTTTTTCACCTCAGTAGAAGTAACCTGACAGTGCAGGACCTGTTGGTATTTGCCTGGGATGCATTTTCCACTCCCCACTCTGAGACCCAGTTTCTTCTTGATATCTAAGGATGATGCATATTACAACGCAGTACTTTCCCTCACCTTTATCTCAGGAGAAGTGGCCCAGTTTCTACTATGTAACCAAGACTAGCTTCAAACTTGAGTCAGTCGTCCTGAGAGCTAGGATTGCAAGTGTGAGCTACCATATCCAACTAACTTTGTGGACTTTGCTGCCACATGGGTCAGATAATGTATCTAGACCACTGAAAATTGTCCATATTTCTAGAAGATATGAGTTCCTGTGATAGGAGACAATAGAGCCAAGCAATGTGATTCATTAAGTCTTTTCAAGCAAAATGATGTCATTCTGTTTCACAAGGGATATTAATGCCCTTTGGTAGGTAAATAATTAAAAGATAGATCGTTTTAAAAATTATTTTTCTGTTTATAAAAATGAGTCATGGAGGTTTTAGAAAAGATAGAAAAGAATGGAAAAAATGAAAATTGCCCACATCTTCAGATATTTTAGTAACGTATCTCATTGCTGGTACTAAATGCCTGCCAAAGCAATTTAAGAAAGGAAGGGTTTACTGTGGCTCACAGTTTGAGGAAACAGCCTGTCATGGTGGGGAAGTCACGGCAGCTGGAGCCAGAGGTAGCTTGTCTTACCACATCCCAGTCAGGAAACAGAGAAAGATGGGGCTGATGTTCAGCTCGCTTTCCCCTTTTTATTCAATCTGTGATCCCTGCAGATGGCAGGGTACTGCCCGCGTTCAAGGTGGGCCTTCCGCCCTCAGTTAAGCCTCTCAGGAAACATGCTCACAGACACACCCAGAGCTGTATTTCTAAATCCAGTCAAGCCAACAATGAAGGTTAACCATATATATAAAATCTTCTATAAAAATTTTAGTTAATAGTCCACAATAATTTTAAAAAAGTCCTAAGAAGAAGAAAAACTCTCTTTTACCCCTGTGGCACCTAGCCCCCCCTTTTTGACCTGAAAGAAACTTGGCTTTGTTGTCTACCTCCTGAGTCAGGTGGTGAATAAAGCAAGGACAGGCACCCTGGTGAGCCTGTGGGCTTTTTAGTGATTGGCTCCATGTGAGCAAAGGACCCCATCTTTGCCAATAAAATATGAGATGGGATTCTCAGAGGCTTCTGGGAACTTCCTTAGCTCTTAAGAAGAGGCAAGGAAGGAAGCCACTCCTTTTCTCCCAGAACATGTTGTGGTGTGTGGGCACAATGCCTGCTAGCTAAGTAACCATGGGCCACCATGGCAGGCTGGGTCAGAAGAAGGCAAAGGTGAAGAACGGGCCTCCACAGGGGAGTTTCTCTGAGAAGTCAGGAAGTCCAGGACTCCTTTCACAGGTACCACAATCTACAGATGTTCAAATCCCATATGTAAAACTGAGTATTGTTGAACCTGCATACACCCTCTCGTACACTTTGAATCTCCCATAGATTATTTATAATACCTAGGAAAATGTAATGTCATGTGAGTAGTTGTTAATACTGTGTTTAGAGAATGTTGACAAGAAAAAAAGTCTTGTTCAGTATGGACAGGATTTTGCTTAATTTTTTTCAGCCTGGGATTGGTTGAATGCACTAATATAAACTAGAGGATGGGGAGGAGGGGGCGATGCAGCTGTTTGGGGAGGAATACTTTTGAACCCAAGGTTTTGGGTGTGTTTGTGGTGGAAACTGCTATGAGGGCAGCAGTGAGGCCGAGACCCTGGACTCAGCTCAAGCAATGACGGCAAACAGATCCAGGACCTCTCTGGGGCTTCTTAATGGTCACGGAGGAGTCTACTCTCATGTTCCCCCTTCTCCACTGTAGTGACAGTGACACT